CGAACAACCCCGAACACGAAAATTTTAAATCACCTGAACATTTTGTATTGAGCCGCAAGGATTAATTTCGGTTTAGCGATTTATGAAAAATGACTGAACAATACTACAGAAAGTAATTAATCATTGACAATTTTTAAGAATAAGTTTGCTACAGCACTCGTAAGCTTCCTAAAGTTATTCCGACTCTAATCAATTGTAAATATGCTTAAAAATTAAGGTACTTTTGATCTATAGCTTGAGATACAATTATAATATCAAAATTCAACTAATTCAACGATGGGCTTCGCTATGAAAGAATTAATGGCATAGCCAAATAAATACAATTTTAGTAAAAAAACATTTGAAATCAATGCACACACTGCACAAAAGCTCATGCTTTGGCATTTAAAGCTAGAAAAAACATCAGGGAACACGTGTAAAGGCAATGAAAGAAGTATAAAGTGAAGAAAAGCATTCAATAAAGACAAAATGGAATCAGGCAATGCCACATTATGCAAACTGGAGTATTTATTTAATCTCAGAACAAAACTGCAGATCGTGTGATGAGGTTGTTATATGTATTTTCAACATGGCTCCAGTCTGGCAATATAGTGACATACTTGGATTCAGTTAAAGAAATTCGCGACAATCCTTGGTCATGTCATGTAGTGACTAGCCTTTATATAGATCTTTTGACACATGTGAATGCCGTAATAAATCACAAATTAAATCAGCAGCGTGATTCAGAGATCAATGTTTTAAAGGTCATTTATTTCAGAAATTTGTCTCAATCATCACCATAAAATCGAATGCCGTTTTAATAAATTTTTCAGTATGATTACCAGCGAATGAACAAATTACTGATTTTCGGATGTATGTAGATGTACATAACATAAAATGCAAATTTTTGAGGGCATCGTATAGTCCATGATAATTTCTCGAACGCTGTGTATAAAATTAAGCCCTATAACACACGTTCGCTGGTGATTGTACGTTTGCATACAGTTATGCGTTTGGTAAGAAGAGTTGAGAAATTGATATCTAAGTTGTGTTGTGCTGAGAAATCACATTTCGAAAATGATACCTAAATATCTGATAGATGAGTAGGAGGTGATCAGACTGTTATTTACATGAGGGAGAAGGGGCGAGAACAGAAGAACCACATTTCGTAAATTAAATTTTAACATTACTTTTACCTGCGAAAGTATTGATTAAGCAGAAGTAGCTGAGCTCTGGGTCTTTTTTTAGCATATCTGTGCAGGTAGTCAAAAATGGAAACTAAACAAAGAAACGAACATCACTAAATTTAAATAAGTCGATTTCTTCTGTCGCTTGCTCCTCTCTTCCACTCGTTGTTCAGCTGTACCTCATAAGTTACATTAGCAGTCAAATTGCAATGGATACGGGTTGAATCACTGCTTTTTATGCCAAAATACGCCACTTCATTGAAAACTTTTATGAACCTTAGAACTGCTAGCAATTACAAGTAGCTTACCACTATCCAATTAAAATCCTGATTTGCTGTCAGTAATGAATAAACCTTACATCACTCCTTAAAATCTGGCCAGTGGTGCCAGCTGGCTGCAATTTTATGAGCTTTCTTCAAAGTAAAGTTGACGGTTGAAGAAAGCA